GCGGCGGGGGACCCGGAGCGGGGCAGGATCAGCATGGGGAGACGGCAGAAGCTGCTGTCGCCGCAGCCCTCTGTCGCGGCCTGTGACCGCGACCGCAACCCGGTCTGTTACTTAAACACACCTCAGAACAATTTAGCACAGCCTGCTTCTCAAAACTTCTAAACGGTCTGGAGGAGCCCAGCTTGCCCCTCGTGGAGCGCGCCACCCAGCGGGGAACACGGTGACCGGAACGTTCCCGCAAACTGTGGCGATGCGGGGTCTCGGGCAGGAGCTGGCGGAGAGGGACTCGCAACGCAGGTCGTCTCGCGGGGACGCCCTCCAGCAAACTGGTGGCTGCTAGCCCATTTATTTTATTAGAAAATTAAGTGACTAGCAGTTGGTGTAGTGGCTATGTCGCAGGACTCCCATGTAGTCAGCTGCAGTTCGAGTCCCGGATCCAGTGGCTTAAATTCACACCGGGCATGTGTGCGTGTGTGCCCAAGATCCCGAGAGGAGAATAGAGGAGAAGGGATTTTGGCGTGGCCATCCCCCCTGGGGGTTAATTGCTCGCTTTCTCTCTCTATGACAAGCGCATGCGCCCTATAGCAAAAACCTCTCCCCCCCAAAAAAAAGGTTAAATTTAAAAAAAGAAAATTAAATGCATTTTTGGTAATTTCTTAGTTGACCCTATCTTGCAGAGCACCCCTTCTCCCTCTTTTTAAAAATTATTACAGCGCGGCCAGCAGGTGGCATAATGGTTACATCTTTGGACTCTCATGTGGCCAACAGCGGTTTGAATTCTAGACCTAGCAGCTTGTTTTCTTTCTCTCTCTCTCTGGTCAAATTAAAAATAATATTGGGGACTAGCAGATGACGTAGTGGTTATGTTGCTGGACTCCCATGTAGTTGATATGGTTCGAGTCCCAGACCTGCGGTCTGAAACTCAAGCTGGGTGTGTGTGTGTGTGCACTCAAAATCCCAATAGGAGACTAGAGGCAAAGGAATTGCGGCGTGGCCATCCCCTTAGGGGTGATTTCTCATTTTCTGTCCCTCTCTGGTGAGCACACATGCCCTATAGCAAAAATCTCTAAGGCACATGTGCTCGCCAGAGAAACAGATAGAAAGCAATAAATCAGCTGAGGCAGGGAGATGGCCATCCACAATCCCCTCTGTTCTCCTCTGTTCTTTTTTTTTTTTTGAGAGGTTTTTGCTATAGGGCATGTGTGCTCCAAAAAGACAGAGACACAGAAAGAGAGAAATCACCCCCCTGGGGGGAATGGCCACGCCACAATCACTTCTCCATTCACTTCTCGGGATCTTGGGCACACACGCCCACATGCCCAGCATAAGTTTAAGCCACCGGGTCTGGGACTCAAACCTCGGTCAACTACATAGGAGCCCAGCGACATAGCCATTACACCAACTACAGGTCCCTGTTCTCTTCTGATTTGGGGAATGCATGCGCACTCACCCGTCATGAGTGTTAAGCTGCTGTATCTGGGATTTGAACCACAGATGACTACGTGGGAGTCCAGTGTTGTAACCATTACACCATATGCCATTTTGGTCCCCCTCCCCAATAAAAGTTAAAAAAAAATTATTACGGCAATTACTTTTTAAAAATATAATTATTTAACTTTATTATTTTTCAATTTTACCAGAGAGAGAAAGTAAAGTACCGGGTCTGGGACTCAAAACCATGGTTGGGCATGTGGGAATCCAGCTCCTTAAATACCACACCACTTCCCAGCCCTAATAAGTACCTTTTAAGGAAGGCTGAATTTCTCCCTCTGAGGAAAGGCCAAGGCTTGCCCTTTGATTATCTGACCATGCTGCAGGGTTTTCAACTCTCCCAATTAGTCACCTCAATTAGAATGCAGATTCCTGGCTCTTCTCAGGGAAGAGGGTGAGAGCCTCCACTCTGGGCTGCTGTCCCTCTCTCTCAGTGACCACTGAGTCAGGCAGGCCCTGATGGGGGAGGTAATGAGGCCACTGGTGTCTTCCCAGACACCAGGTGTTTATATTTCCGGCTTGAGAGTGCACGAGTTAGAGGAGTCCTTTTATCGCTGATGTCTTTGCACTCCGCCTAGGAAGAACAGTTTCCGGCTGGGCTAACCAAAGTGGTTCTGTGTCAGCCTCTGGCATATGGAGCCAACTGATGAAACAGAAGAATGGGCAGTGAATGCCACAGCCAATTCTTCCAATGCTGGGACGACAGGCCAAGGGCAAGCAGGACCACTCCCAGGCTGCTGTCACCCTGAGAGCCCCAGAGAAGAGGGTGAGGACAGTGACCACCTGTCACAGGGCAGCCAAGGGATAGAAAGTGGAGAAAACCCTGCCCTTTCAGAGACAGCCACGAACATGGTGCTCTCTCTGCCAGTTCAAACAAAACACAAGAAAACCCCACCCTGCATGAGCGCCTCAGGGCCTTTCGCTGTTATCCAAGGTGAGGTTCTCCTGGCAATAGTGGCAACCACTACTCCACAGAGGCCACCAGGGCTTGGGGTAATCTGAGAGCAGCCGACAGTCCGCGGGGTGAGCGAGGCGAGGAGCCAGCTGTGCGAAGCCCTGTGCAGGACGGCCTGCCCTATGAGCCACAGAGAGCAAACTGGTCTCCCCAGACGTTTCCTTTGAGCTGCTCTGTATCGATTACCTGCCAACATTTAAACATTAGGTGTTTTTGCTTTTGCCTTAGGCAAAAACATTTGCCAGGGAGAGACAGAGGGAAAGCGAGAAGTGGGGATGACCACGCTGCAGTCCCTTCTGCATTTTGCTCTCCAGATTTTGAGCACACACACACACGTGCCTGGTGTGACGTTACAGCTGCCAGGTCTGAGACCTGAACTGCCATCCACCATGTGGGAGTCCAGCACTTTAACCACTGTGTCACCTGCTGACCCCGACATTAGAAGTGTTTGACCCAGTCTGGTGGCACAGTTGGTAGCACACTGAACTGCATGCTGGAGCCCACAGAGCGGACCGTGGGTTCGGATCCCCAGGTCACTCTGCTACACGTTGGGCACACACGTGCATGCCCAAGATCCTGAGGAGCTGGAAGGTTGGGGAAAGAAGATCTGTGTGATGAGACCCAGGTAAGGTGCCCGCCCCTCCCTCCCTGCCTCCCTCTCTCTCTCTCTCTCGTGCATGCTCTATCTTGGACAATTTTTTTTTAAATCAGTAGTTTTCACATAAATCCAGATTTCTGGTTTCTCTTGAAAAGTCACAAGATCTAGCGAACACAGATCAGACCCACAGGGAAATGAGCCATGTCCCCCATCCCCCCCCCAGGGCCCCCGCTGCTCCCTGCTCCCGTAGGCAACTGGGAGTCCTGCATCCTGGCACTAACACTGGGCGGATGGGGACAGAGGAGGCCTGGCTGGGGAAACGGGAGGCCAGAACTGGGGCATCCACATCCTTGGAGATGCCAGGAATCATGGTAGCAAGGGCACTAAGGTAGAACAGTCACGCAGATCATAAACCTGGGGAAAAGAGAGGTCCTGCGACAATGACTGGGCCGGTGACAGCAGTTTCCCTGACACCATGTTCTGGGCCCTCAAACCCACTGAATATTGACCTTAAGCAATTTACTTGGACTTGACCATCAATTCTCTTTTTTAAGAGCCCAAGAATTGGTGATTGGAGCTCATGGACCCCTGAAAGGCCCGTGTGCCCTGTGCTCTATGGCCTCGCTTCCTGGGGAGAGGCCTGTGTTTGCCTGGCCTGGCTGGCCTGGCTTGAGTCTGGCACTAAGAAGCCTGTCTGAGGGGTTGGGCAAGTGTCTTTAAGAAGCAATTGAATTCAGGTGGCTGGAGGCTCAAGTATGGGAACTCTCCCCCACCCCCAAGTGGGGCCACAATCCCTTCTCCATTTCTCCGTCCTGTCAGGACTTAGGGCACACACACGTGCCCAGCATTTTTTTTCAAGCTGCCAGAGCTGGGATTCGAACCGTGGTCAGCCACGTGGGCTCTAGTTCCCAATGCACAGTGCTCAACCCCTGTGAGATGGTGCTGGCTGAGTTACATTTAGTCAGCAGAGACAACAGGTCTGTTTCCATCTGGGGAAGATGGGAGTTACAGAGACAGAGAGAGGCTTATTCCAGCTCAG